ACCCTTTGAATGACACATACCCTTTTGAATGTATCCACTTCATGTTTATGTGGCTTTCATGTTTTTTTTTTTTTTTAAGTGGACTGAAACCTCCTTTAGGGCAGAGTTCCTATTGAGTGTTCTCTACCCTGTCCTCTTGTACCTTAACTTAAGTTGATGTTTAGAATGTCCTCCTTGCAAGGCAAAATTCTATACCTTGTCCACAGCCATGCCCAAATGTCATCTGCCTACTGCACACTGTCTTCCTAGTGGTACATCTGTCATTGGATTATAACTGGAATCCAGAACCTTGGTCAATGCTCACTGTTGGCACCAGGCCCCTGGCTTGTGCCAACTACTGAGTGCTCTGCCTTGCCTGAGACAGTGCCCTGTCAGCCAGTCTGTGCAGGTCTTCTCTGCTCACTCATTGGGGGCTCCCTGAGAGAAGAGACCATCTTATTCACCCTGTTGTACTGCTGTGGGATTCCAAAGCACATGGAAAAGAAAAGAGAGTCCCATCTGACCTCTTGTCTCAGTCATGGGTAGATGGCCAGACCATCTTTGACGGTGAGATATTCTCATTATAGAGATGCTTGCTTGCCTGACTCATGAAACATTAAACAAATCTTGTTTTTTTTTTCATTTAAAAACAATTAGTCACAACCTCAAGCTAATGGCCGGATATAGCTCAGCAGTCGGCAGACATAGTTCTGAGAACAATAACCTCTCCTGCCTGCCTTGTGCTCTACTAGCTCCCAGAGCCCATTCAAACCCAGTATCCTTATTAAACCCCAGAAATCCCCACAAACCAGGCAGGGCAGGTACTTCTGCCCATTTTTGGATGAAGAAGTAGCCCCAGAAGTGGGGCTACCAGCCAGGTTCACCCCAAGTTTATATAGCTGGCATCCAGCACAGCTGGGCTTCTTCAATCTCAGTTCATTCCCAGACCCTCCAGCTGCCCTCTACCTCTCATTTCTGGTCCCTGCCCTGGGACTCAGCCCTATAATGCTCCTGTCTTCAGTACTGAGCAGGTGCCTGATCCCTTCCAGCTCAGATGGCCAGCTCCATCTACTTTTGGAGGATGCTAACTCACAGATCCCTGCTTTCCACTTGAGTTGGTCTTTAAACATTTTTTTTTTTTTTTTGCATCAGGGATTGAACCCAGGGCCTCACACATGCTATAGACACACAGTGATAACACACAGACCAAATGCAGACGGAAAGTAATTTTCTTCCAGGTTTGCTGTTTGCCATCTGGATCTGGGACTCCTGAAGTTGTTTAAAATCTGGGAAGCAAAAAAGAAAAGTCAGGGAAATTAAATCCCAATACAAGATTTAGCAAGTTCAAGACAAGCTGAGTAGAATTGACACTGTCCTTAGGCAGTTAGATAGAGGCGCCTGCCAAGGTGTCTTAACTACTGCCTGGGCCTGGGACTGACATCACTTGGTGCTACCTGGCTCCTCTTGGAGATGTCAGGCTGAAGGTTGCCAATTTGGTGATAATCAGTCTTTTTCAGCACATGGGAATTTGCTAGTTTCTAACAGTGTCAGAAAGTCTGACCACAAATCTGAGAGGAACCCAGATGGATTAAAGAAAAGAAATTTGGCTTCTATGACCCGGGTCAGTAGCTCAGCGTAGGTCAATGTACCCCCTGGTGGTAGCACTAAAAGAGAGGATGGTAGTCATCAGTGGCTTTCAGCATCTGTCATATCTGATCTGGCCAACCATCTGCTGGTGTGTCCTCTAGTTGCTTTGTGGTGCTGCCCCTTGTCACCATCAATCCTGAGCTTAGAGAAGCAGCCTCCTCCAAGAAGTTATCATTAAAACATGATGTATTTCTAAGAGTTTTAATGGGTACATTGTTATATAGGTCCAAGAACACCAAGTTTCAAATTATAACCTCCCAAAACCACATTGATTGCTAAGATGCTAACTGTATTGTGAAGTCTAATGAAACCACTCAGTGCAGGTGTTGTTCAGATAAAGCCATACCAATAAATAATTCCTGCCTTCTGCTTAAGGCAAGGCTCAGTGCTAGGTCCAGAGAAGGCTGGTAGCATGAAAACCTTCTCTTGCCTTGGAGCTATTTAAGATTCTGAACAGCATGTCACAAAAAGCAGAGAGGTGAAATCTCTATTCAAGCATTAGGAAGCTCCTGAAGACACAAGTATAGCCACTACTGTCCTTGGGCAAGTCATGGGGCCTGCCAGTGTTTCATTTTCATATTTATAAAACGAGGACAAAAAATACCCAGTTCATGAACCTTTTATGAGTGTCCAGTGAGATAGTGTATATAAAGTGCTTATCCCAATATGGCATATTCTATACATGCAATAAATATTTGCCACCATTTTTGTAGAATTAAGAATGGATGTGAGCCACATAAACATAGCCCAGACAGAGAAGAGAGGTTGAAGGTGATAAAGAACACCAGATTTGGTGACCAGAAGAAAGCTGATTCCTTTATAGGCAGGGAGGATGCTCAGAAGGAGTTGAACGTGGATGGAGGAAGAGTCCATCTTGAGGGAATAGGATTGTGGTCGTCACCTGCAGATTCAACAAGACAGGGAGAGAGCTCAGGGAGAGAGCTGGGCTGGACACCTGGATGAAAGAGTTGCAGGTCAGATGGGTCCTGGGGAGGAGGGAAGGTTTCTAGGGAGGGCATGTGAACTGGGAGGAGGTAAGGGGAAGGACTTGGTTCTGGTGGCTCCTTGTGTAAAGGAAGATCATGATGGGGAAGGGTATCCATGGAAACAGAGTAGAAGCAGCCAGGGGAGCAGGAGGGCCAGGTTCTCTCTTGCAGGCCTGGGAGTGTGCACAGGGCCATTAGACTCTGGGAGATATGCTAGAATCTGAAGACTCTGTTAACAGAGGGTGCATGTTGGGTCATGGGTGCTGTCTTCAGTGGAGGCCGAAGTCACATTGGATGCTAAGGGCGTGATTCTGGAGGAGAAGTGTCAACTTCTCTTTCCTTGGATATTGCTCTGATTCATATGGTTATAAGGAAAAGGACCCTGAGGACCCGTGAGTTGAGGGGTCACTGCTGGAGAGTCTTTTTTTTTTATACTATAGATTCCACTTCTGGGCATGCAGTATGCCCACAAGGGTCAAAAGTAAGGATAGGAACCAATATTTGTGCACCCATGTTCATATTAGCCTTATTCATAATAGCCAACAGGTGGATGTAACCGAAGTGTCCATCAACCAATGAATGGATATACAAACTGGTATGGAATGAACTATTATTCAGCCTTAAAACGGAAGAAAAATTTGATATATACTAAAACATGGATGAAGCCTGCTAATTGAAGAAAGCTAGTTACAAAAAGACAAATATTGTGGGATTTGTAGAAGGATAATAGATAAATTCATGAAGACAGAAAGTAGGAAGGAGGTTTTCAGGGGTTAGAGGAAGGGACAATGGGTAACTGTTGTTTAATGGGTTCAGAAATTCAGTTTAGGAAAATGAAAAAGGTTCTGGAGATGGAGGGTGCTATATGTGTTTAATGCCACAGATCTGTATACTTAAAAATGGTTAATATAGTTTTAGGTTATATGTATGTTACTACCTATGGGGATCATATGGATTGAAGCTGAAATGACACATATAACAGGAAAAGATGTCTAAGCAAGGCGTGGAGTCTGGCAGGGTGGCACGGGCCTGGCTTTTACACCCAGGCCAGCAGTGTGGCCAGGAAAATTGTCTCATTGCTTGTGTCACGGATTTCTCACTTGTAAACTGGTTATGACAGCCTCTGTCCTCTAATTGTCCTGGGTTGTTCTATGGCCTGGGAGAGCAGGTTTGGGAAAGCACTTGGTAAACTGTCCTGTAGAGCCCTTGGGGGTGAGTGTACTTTAATGCCTTGACTCAGGGGTCAGAGCTCTTGAGCTTCTCCAGGTAGGGCTGCAACAGCCATGTGGTTGCTCATGTCAGGTTATGTCTGACCGTGGAGTCCTATCAGGTTCCTGAGGGCAGCTGCTAGAGTGACCTTAGCAGGGCATTTTGGTCTGTGGCCACTGTGCACATCCAGAAAGTCTTTAAGGCTTTTCTCAGCAGATTCTGGGAGAGAATCATCCAATTGTTCTCTTAATTCACTGTAGGTGATGCATGAAYGTGTCCTCTGTGCATCTAAGATGGTACTAGTGGAAGTGAAAAAACAGCTGTTATAGTTTTCTGTTCTGGGGTTCATTGAATAACCCCAGTTGAGAAAAGCTGGGACCTGTCAGACCTAGACGCCTCCCGAACCCCAGTCTCCACCCTAGGTTTAGGTACACAGGAAGTGAGAGACCTAAGGGAAACAGAGACTGGGTCAAGTTTTCACAGCATCTCAAGATAGGTCCGTAAATGCCAGGCCAGGGCTGTGTGATGGGTAACATGATGGCTCCATTCCTTTTTCTTTATTCTTTTTTTTTTTTTTTTGTATGTGTGTGATACTGTGGATTGAGTCCAGGTACACTTTGCCACTGAGCCACAACTCTACCCCTTTTTATTTTATTTTGAGATAGGGTCTCTCTAAGTTACTGAAACTGACCTCATACTTGTTATCCTCCTACCTTAGCCTCCCCAGTCACCACTTCCTTCTTCATTTTAAAAACAGGGCAGACTCAGGTTGCTGGGTTTTACTCCACTGGTTATGATGGTACGTTTGGGGAGCTGCTTCCCTGACCACTATGTGCAGGAAAGGTGGGTTTGGGAGGTGGAGCAGTGTTCTCCTTCCCTGAGAGCTGAGGTCACAGCTGTAGGGCTAGTTCTGCAGGCAGCTAAGTGCACTGTGGCCCTGGCATGGCTGGAGGAGGGGCAATAGCTAAGTGGTTTCTGAAAAAGGGCAAAAATGATGGGAAAAGCTTTGGGATCCTCTGGGAATCAGAGCCGTGGCAACAGCAGCTGCTGCCATTGCTGGAAATGTTTCCTTGAGTGCCAGAGTGCGCCCACGGCCCACCCCTGCAGTACGTCCTGGGGAGGGGCCAAAGGACCCTCACAGAGGCAGGGAGGAGCCAAGGACCCTCACACCAGCCCAACTCTTGCTTCAAGTAGCAATTGTCACTGAGCTCCCTGGCACCCATCGGGTCTGCTGTGTGCCTGAGTCTAGCTGGTAAGTCCCTTTTGTTATTTGATGGTCAGTGCAGATGTTAGCTTTTAGAATGGCCAAGCTGGGCCCTGCCATTTGCCAGTTGTGTGACAGTGGGCAATTAAACCAGACTCTCAGTGCCTCATTTATCCCATCTAAAAAATGGGGATAATAGCAGTGATTCATGGAGACTCTTGCTAATGGGGTGTTGCTAGGCAGGGATTAGTTTATTCTTTTGCATCCTCAGGGGTCACGGTGAGGCTGAAGTAAAATTACTGTGCACTCAGCTTGGCTAATCGTAAGCACCAGGTAAGTGTTGTTATCAATGTTATATTTTGTTCTGTGTTGGGTGAGGAGGCTGCAGCTGCTGCTGAGGCTGGAGGTTTGTGGCTGGAGGTTTGCAGGACATTGCTCTCTCTGTGCGCCGGAGGGGTGCAGGTCTGGCTGGGGTCTTGTCCTGGCTCTTGTCTCTTTGTTCTTGGCAGAGCCCCTCTGTTTTTCATTCCTGGTTTAGGGAGCCTTCACTTCTCCATCCCTCCTGGGGAGATGCTGAGTTCAGAAGAGGGGGTGAGGATGATAGTACTGGGTCCTAGACCAGCATTGTCCCAGCTTCTCAGAATGTCACAGGTGGTAGGAGGGAGGTGCTCCCAGTGGATGGATGACTTGGCTAGAGGGACAGGTGGGAGAACCCCACTCAGATGCCTTGCCTGTGTTGGGGATGGAGGAAGGGAGCCTTCTCCCAGGTGAGGGGCAGTGTCCTGTCTGGCTCTGGAGGTGAGGGAGACCCAGAGGTCAAACCAGGTCTTGATGGGCAGGGTTGGTTTTCAGGGCATCTTTTAGTGCATCTTTTTTTTTTTTTTTTTTTTAAAGAG